ACCTGCCCATGCATTGTATTTCTCTGTGTACGAGCTGTGCAAGAAGCATCTATCCGCCAACAATCCAAACAACTCCGTCGCACACGCCCTTTCCGGAGTGTTTGCTACCGTGGCCAGCGATGCCGTGATGACGCCAATGGACGTGGTGAAGCAAAGACTGCAGTTGAGCGGGAGTCCTTACAAGGGATTCGGAGATTGTGTGAAGAGGGTGCTGTTAGAAGAGGGGGTCGGGGCCTTCTACGCTAGTTATCGGACCACCGTGGTCATGAATGCACCTTTCACTGCGGTTCATTTCGCAACTTATGAGGCTGCAAAAAGGGCTCTGATGGAGGTATCGCCTCAAAATTACGTGCGGGATGATGAAGAAACTCTGCTGCTGCATGCTACTGCAGGTGCTGCCGCCGGAGCATTGGCTGCTGCAGTTACTACTCCTCTTGATGTTGTCAAAACTCAGTTGCAGTGTCAGGTTACAAAGAATTTCTGCCTTTTCTTTTGTTCAAACTACTTTACTGCAGCACGGGCCGCTCTTCCTCAAAACTTAATTACCCTTTCTATTAATAGTACAGCCGTCCTCCATTCCCCACCCCCCCCCCAAATTTCCAGCCGGAATCTTTTAAATTTTGTACTGGTAGGTAGCATGTTACTAGTTTTTCAGTACAGGGTTTGCTTTGATTGCACCAGGGTGTTTGTGGCTGCGATCGGTTCTCGAGTGGCTCGATCACGGATGTGGTTCAGGCGATCGTGAAAAAAGAGGGTTATGGGGGGCTTATGCGGGGTTGGATCCCCAGAATGCTGTTCCATGCACCGGCCGCGGCTATCTGCTGGTCTACCTATGAAGCTGTCAAAAGCTTTTTCCACACTAGAAATGGCTCCGAGGATGGCTGAGGACAAAAGTTACTTCCATTGGATGCGCCAACTATAAAATCACGTTGAGCAAAATTGTTGAAGAAACCGCTTTTCCTTCTCATGTACAGGGGATTGGAAGAATAATTAACTTGTCAATTTTTCAACCGACTTGGTAGTTACACTATCAATTCGGATATCACATGCCTAAGAGTTTTATGCTGAGTTTAAAGAATGTAATACAAAGATGTGCTGCTCTTTAAACCGTATAATATCACCAACTCATTTCAATCTATCAGGAATTCCATATACCAAAATAGATCCCTCTTTTCCAATAAGATTATATGAGGAATTCACAATGAACCCACAAACAATGGGATAAATGTATTAACATACAGTCAAAAGCAACTCGTATATATTTCCAGTACTATGAGACCTGAACATACCCTTCTCTTCATAATATTGTTGATGATGAATAAGGATCGATATATTTTTAATTTTACAAAGTCAGTAACTTAATGGATAAATAACTAGCTAGCAATTCTTATATTATATTAGTTTTAAAGTTAGACTCAACAATTTTAATTATCTTTTTCTTTTGCTACACTGATTTTTGAAATTCATAATTGTTTGAGAGATACACATGTACAGTGTTGCATTAAGATGCACACGTCTGGAGATAATGGTAAACTTTTTTCATATTTTTGTTAAAAGAAGTTGTATCAAAATTTAACGGACTGGAAATTTAACTATTTATTATGTTCTATTTAAGCTCCTGTCCATTCAGCACCAGTGGTCTAGTGGTAGAATAGTACCCTGCCACGGTACAGACCCGGGTTCGATTCCCGGCTGGTGCATATGGAGTTGACTTCCCTTTTAGTTTATCCTGCTCTGCTACCTGCTGCTTTGTAAGATTACACCACTGGTATTTGTGCATGTGGTGACCTACACCATTTCATCTCCCGCTGCTAACTGATTATTCTGTATTAACATAGGCCACTTGCGTATTTATGCTGTGTGGCCGACACCATTTTGTAACCGGAAATCTTTGTCTGAAAAGTGAAAACTAATTGGCCTTTTACAGTTTTGTGTAACAGGTTTGCCGTGCTATGTTTGAACTATACGATGAACATGCCTGGCGGAGGATTTCAACGGTTTATCCATAGTCTCATTTGCTGCTATACGCATAAGCATTCTGCAGGCAGATTTCACGACGAAATCAGATACAACACTCCCACAATCATAAGCTGTGCACATTGAATCAGAAACCTAAATGCACAAGTTTGAATTTGCAAAACAATCGAGTTCAAATTCAAACTATAATTACACTGAAAGAAACATTCAAGAATAACAGACAAATATGTCCACAATTGCTTAGCGATTTTACAATTTATGACACCACGCCTTTCTTGATATTAGAACTTGTCTACTCCGACTCCATCTCTAAGAACCTCATAGGCATCTCTGCTTCTGGTTTTCTTCATCCCAGCAGTAAAATGAAGCTTCGATCCTTCAGTTGCAATGGCAGTCACTTTCACCCAAATGAGCACCTTAGTTTTCATTCCTTCTATATCGACAAACTTTCCCTTCTCTAGATATCCAGTTACAACCGTGGAGAAACGCAAGACCGAGGAATCTTTATAACCCACTTCACAGACAGAGGGTATGAAGACCGTAAGCTTTCGTGTCTCCTCATTAAATTCATAGTTGGTCGCATCACGAGGGAAAATACCTACTGCAATATCATATTCCTTCAGTAATTCCGGCAATGGTTTTTGCATTTTCCCTGAGAAAGAACATTTATACTCGATAAGCATGAAACAACAGGGGATTTTTCTCAAGGGCAAACTAAACACCTATAGCCTAATCATTAGTAAGGCACAAATGAAGGAGATAAAGTCAGACAACCAAATGCACAAGAATGATCCAGCTTTTACATAGAAACAGTGCTTTGCAGCAATAACCCAGACGCCAAATCTCTAATATGTGGAGACTTGTGATGCTAGCCAGGTTTTATCAAAGCAAGTCTCTTTATTGCCCAGGGCCCCCAGTTTATCATCATCACTCTTCCTAAATTTTAGCTGGTCTCGGCTTACAACATTACTGAAGAACAAAATAGACAGGTAGATCACCATAACCACAACCATTACCATTCAAAAAAACTGGTGAAGACCATTTAATTCATTGACAACAAAACAACCACTATTCTAAACGTCCAAGAAATTCCAAGTTTCAAGGCTCCAGGGCCTAATTGAGTAAGCCTATAACAAAACCACAAGAAAAAGATTTTTTTTCTTTTTTAGCACAAGACAAAAGATTCTATATCCTCTTTTTGAATGTCCTAAACTCAATAGTTTCAAAATGGCCTGCCTTAGATGGTAGTTGAAAGTCAATGCGATTTGAGTTTTACCTGAAGAACATACAGGCACAATAAGCATTCTAGAAAGGAACAGGATTGTATAAGAGAAAGCCAAACCTTTAATCTTGTTCACCAACCATTTCGCTCCCCCTTCGATGCTGCTTGACATTGACTAATTAGAAAAGGGAAAAAATAGAACAGCAACATGAACATCCTTGTGTTGAAAAAAAAAATTTATTTTGCTAAACACGTATAACATCTCATTATTAACCCCCGTCTACTTAAAATTACTAAAATTTAAGCACAAGAACTCAGAAATAGCTAAAAATTCCAAAATGTTAAAAGATTGCACAGTATGCAATAAAAGAGCCCCTATCGCCGGAACTGATTTCATCTCTTTCATAAACAGAAAAACATTAAGTCTCTATAGTTATGCACCCTTCTCCAAGTTGCTGAATAGTTTTTCTTTTGTTTACTATAAGCATTCCTTGACTTTCTTCCATAGAGAAGATAAATCGCAAGTACACAAAAAAAAAAAAAGGAACAACAGCAACGAGATGACCCAAACAACTTCTAAGCTAATGATAATAGTGCCAATTTCAAAGCTTAAAGGGAAGGATGACAAACAAGATGACCCGAACAACTTCTAAGCTTATGATAATAGGAGCACATTAATGATTGCACAAGTTAATTAGAGGAATAATTTGTTTTTGTTTTTGTTTTCTTAAAAAAAAAAAAAGAAAGCTAAAAGGAACGATTGATCATCAATACAATAATGGTATATCATGACTTATACTGGACATCACGCACGTATTAAATTCAAAATCTAATAATTATAGATCAATAATTGACTATAAACAGATAAATTTCCCAAATCAAATCCTCAACACCTAATACCCGCAAAGGCAAAATTACAGAAATGCAGATCAGAAGTAAAGGGGGCAGTTGGCAAATTAGGGCTAGATTTTTTTGGGGGGTTGTGCTGGGAGCTTACGTTGATGTCATCGCCGACGGAGCTGAACTCCTTGTTGGCTTTCTGGCCTAACCAGTACGAACCAACTTTGTTCAGAATCTGATCCATATACTCTGTTTATCGACAATTACTTGTGCAGATACGGAGAGATTTGAAGGAATCTTTGTATTGAATCAAATAAAGAGATAATTCAATGGGTAAACTAAATTCCCCGCTCCTTCTCTCTGAGGCTCTGAGCCGTAATTTTCAGAGAGAAAGATAAGAGGACTGGGTTTGCCGGGGGGGCGGGACAGAGGGGAAGAAAAATTCGTCGCCGCGACTTTTCAGCATAAAGCGCTCGCTTTCTTTTCTTTATTTTTTTTTTCTTGTTTTGTTTTCCCCCCGTCCCAGAAACAATATATTAATAGGAGATTGTATTGATATGATCTAAATAAACATTACACTTTGCGGGCTGATGCTATTATATTTATGGTCTTTGTTGCTTTTTATTTAGCTGACATCGCTGCAGTTATTAAAAAAAAAAAAGAACAAAGGGAAAATTCATAAGAACAACAATCCCGCCTGCCGTCCTTGTAGTATTAAGTTTCACAACCTAATTTATAAATATAATCTCGATCCTAATATCGTCACTAGTATTTGTGGAATTATATATATTTTTTATCTTGTGTTGATTTATCAAAAGTATATGTAGTGCGAGCAACGACTCGATACTTACATTGTGCTAGCAGCATAGCATATTGCGACTGACCCATTCTACATCTTGAGGATTGATCGATGCTTGAGCACTAAATTGCGACTAAATTGATCTAGGCAAATGGAGCGTTTGTAAAACAGGCTATTCAACTCTTTAATATCCTGTATCACTGTAGTTGTCCATCCATCTATTGACTTTTCTCGTTGGATTTGCTGCAGCAGATTTTTTCCAGGGACTCCAATGTTTATAATTAGATCACTAAAATTTTATGATTTGAAATCGTCAACTAAGATATGTGGGCATTTTTTGGGCAGGCCTAAAACCCGCGGGTGTCAGATTACTACGACAAACACAACGGCCAGGCTATGGCTCTGCACTTACTTTCATCATCGCAATTCGCAAACGCAAATGAAGAGATTACTGCACTGCTAAACCGGTTACTACTACACTACACTACTATTTTCTGCTGCTGCCGCTCCACTGAGGTCTAGATGTTGCCAGTGCCGCCATGGCCGGTCCACCCTTCACCCCACACCCGCATGGCCTGGGTTTCATTCGCCAAGGCAACAAAATATCCAGGCCGCAGCCCTTCCAGGACGAATATGACCACGATTGCGTCGCAGTCCTAATAGCTCCGGAAGCTCTCCTTCTGCCGGCACCGCTGCTTGATTTAGGATGCTTCTTCCTCTTCTCATCATCTGAATTAATTAGGTCCTTGTTCAGGCTGGTTGATGATGATGATGCCGCAGCAGCCAATGCTTTGGCGTCCGGCAAAAATCGCTGGATCATAAAACTGGGCGAATGACAGCCTATGCCTTCCTCCATATCCCCATTTCCAATCCCAAATTTCCTCCTCAGTTCTTTCCAGGTGTCAACCGTCTCGACCGACTGGGCTAACGAGAATATGTCCAGCTCGTTCGACGAAACGCCATCACCGCCCTTCCAATCTTCGTGGGCCCCTACTCCACCGTCATCCTCCACGTCCCCCTCGCAACCATCATCATAATCATGCCCCCGCTCCGCCTCACCTTCACATGAATCGCGCTTGGGATCGGCTTCTTCCTCTGTTGGAAGCCATCGGCAGCCCGGCGGTGGTTTTGGAGGGGGTATTATTTCTTCAGCGTTCTCGCCGTCGCTTTCTTCACCCATCTCCTTGGGCTTGCCAGGAGTTTGCTCCCAAGAGAAAGGTATCCTCTCGAATTTATCCCAAGAAACGCGAACCGAAATTGCATTTTGCACATCCTCCAGTCTGTTGACACCAATAGTTCGCCTCGTCGATAGAAGTGGGGCGTTTAAGTTCAGCTTTCCTGCAGGCCACTTCCTCCTATTCAGGGCTGCTTTTTCTTCTTTTTCCATGTACGTATTGGCATATGTATTAAGCGAACGTACAGGCGAAAATAATTTTAGATGAAGCAGACGTAAGACTGGAGCGAACGATTAAAGATGAACTGTCTTAAAAGAGGTAGTTGCAGTGCAGGAGATATATATTACAGCTGGAACTATATATGGGTTTCTCGTGCAATCAGCTGAAAAGTTTCACTTAAAACGGTTCACAGGTGATGTGTTTGGGAAGGACCATTCATGAGCCATATGAAAATTACCCGCGTGGCCAAGTTAACCTAGTACCACAACACTACATGCAATGCAAGTAAACTAGGATATAGCAGTGCAAATAGTCTTGGCCGAGTGAACCTACTACATGACGATGACATGCAATGCAAGTAAAACAAGGACATATTGCCTTCAGTTTAACCTGACCAGTAGCCTGGAGTCAAAAATCAATATGACTGTAGAAGTCCATCTCCACAGGAAGCTCGCCGTTTCTTATTTTCCTTTTCCCCTTTCCTTTTCTTTCCTTTTCTTTTCTTTGAACTTTGAAGAGAGTTATAGATTGCTGAGAATATTGCATCTTTAGAATAAGCAAAATGCTAAGGCTGCTGGCAGATTCCAAATATTCTGCTTGTCCAACCATAAGAAGAGTTGTAAAAAAAAAATTGAATTTACAAGTTTTAAGACAAGAAGCAAATTAAAGCATAGAGCAATTCAGGTTTCACTAAAAAGAACTTCTGGAGAACAGAGGCAGCATACTGTTACATTCTTGCTGCAGAGCCTCTGGCCCTCCACTGCGGGCTGCAATTCTATCAGGTATAATGGGTCATGAAACTGCAACTGTTTTTGAGCTTTTGGTTGAGTCCAACTCGTACCCTTTTCTCTCTTCTGTGCGAGTGTGTAACATTGAGAAAGCACTGCAAACCGGAAACTGGAAACTGAAAAGAATAACATCAGCCTTATTTATCACTGAACCACCGCCCCCTCCAATTATTTTTTTTAAAAAAAAGGAAAAACTAAAAGAATACTACGTACAACCCACAAGTTCTCAGAGTCTTCCCTCCGCAGTCCACATATATTATATATAACTCCCCGTGATCAATCATTAAGTACTGCTAACTATTCGTAACCCAACTTTTGATCCTCCTTTGTCTTGTCAATCTTTTTTTTTTTTTTTTTAAAAAAAAAAAGAGAAGAAGAAGAAGAAAGAAAGAAAGAAAGGGGAATCTCATCTAGTACAAAATATGCCTTCCAATCCTCCTAAATCATCTCTTCTACTACACAGGATCAACACCCATACCACCGCCACAGACACGACATGTAAACAATCTCAACAACAACAACAAACACCACCATCCCCCTCCGCCACCGCTATCTCCCCCTGCCCATCTCAGGTCCCTGACTCGGTTGTGCGCTACCACACCCACGCTGTGGGCCCCAACCAGTGCTGCTCCACCGTCATCCAAGAAATCTCTGCCCCGCTCTCCACCGTGTGGTCGGTCGCCCGCCGCTTCGACAGCCCTCAGGCCTACAAGCACTTTGTCAAGAGCTGCCACGTCATTCATGGAGATGGCAACGTCGGGACTCTCCGCCAGGTCCACGTCATCTCTGGCCTCCCTGCAGCAAATAGCACCGAGCGTCTGGAGATTCTAGATGATGACCGCCATGTCATCAGCTTCAGCGTGGTAGGAGGAGACCACCGTTTGTCTAATTGCCGCTCCGTTACGACCCTCCACCATTCCCCCCGTGGGGAAGGTGCGGTTGCAGTGGAATCTTACACGTTCCGGTAGGTAACACCAGAGAAGAAAGGCGTGTTTTTGTGGATACCATTGTTAAGTGTGGCTAGCCAGGATCGCTGATGATTTAACTAGACGGAAAGCTTCTTCCTCGTGAACATGAACATAGAGGTTAGACTATATATATGCAACGCGAACGAACGTCTTCGTGCGCGTCTCTGTCTTTCTCGGCATGTTTCACTTGTTATTTTCTTTTATTTAATTTTTATTTTGCTTCTCTACCGGCCCGCACAAAGCAAGTACGTAGTATAACCTGCAGCTGTTTTCTATCCACGTCACGTCCAGTTGGAACGTCGGGTAGTTGGTGAACGTGATTACCCATTGCCATTGCCATTATGCGGCGTTCTGTATGAGATTATTGTTGATATTGCTTGTGGAAGAATTTTTGGCCAAGAATGCATGAGCGCGGCCTTGCGTCCTTTCATCTTTGATGATCTGGCCTTTCGTCTCGATCGTCATAGAGCTGTAATTAATCCGTATAAACCATGGCTCAAGGGGACATGGAATATTCTTATTCTTCAATAAGAATAACAGCTGGTGACTTGCTGAGGATCTCTCGGTTATCAATGAAATAACAACTCTGTAATATTCTCGGAATGAGCTAGCGTTCAGGGTGTAGTGGATCGGCCGTCTTTCGAGCGAAAGCAGTAGCAGCGAAGCAAGACGGCTGACATGCAAGTACTTGGAGTTTGAATATACAAATTAATATTTGGAAGGCATTAATCAATTGGATCACCTAGATGTCCTATAGTGAACATGCAAGTACAATGTCGAGGAATTGGGGGGGGAAGAGGATACTTAATCAGTGCGAGTGCGTTGCGAGCTTTGATCCAAGTGAACTAGTATGACTCCTTACTCTGCATGCTACTCGTATACACATAACGAAAGGAACGTGGAGTCTATACTGAACCAATTAACATTACACTTTTTATATTCTCTTTCTCTTTTTGACCAAAACAGAAAAGGAAAAAGCTTTTTAATTAAGCGGGAGGATGGGCACATTGACCTGGAAATGGAAACTCGGCAAGCAGGCAGGCCGTTCAGTAGATAGGAGTACCACTGATCTTGTCTCAATTATCTATGCTTCTCGTGTTGTGCTTGATGATGATGCGTGTATATACGTATTGCCTGCTTATTTTATGGTCCCATAGACAGACTCGAGCAGTAATTAATTTGGCGTACAATTTATTTACAAAGGAACATGAAGCAAATACTTAGTAAAATGCCATCCATATACACTAGTGGGCTTGGATGTGCATTAGTTAGGCCTGCAAATGGATCGGGTTTCGGTCGAAATTAAAAATTTCAACTCAAACCCGTACCCGTTTTAATATACTAGGTCATATATCCGATGGGTCTTGTGCTTAAGATTTCGGAACCGAGTCTCGAGTCGGGTCTAGATCTATCCGAAAAGAAAAGATTCAACATGTATCATTAATTTTCTTTTATCCATGTTAGGAAAAAAAACCCCAACATGATCTCAGCATATTTAACAAAAAACACTTATATGTAACTTGTGGTGAATACATTTATGGTCAATCAAGTTTACTTTTTTCAAATCCTAATTTCTTAGATGCTTCATTTGAGATACAGGTAATTTGGTTAATTTAGTAAAAAAAAATACTTTTATTAATTTAATAAAAAAAATGTATTTAGAAATATTTATATTTTATAATTATTAATGTATTATTTGGGTCCGGGTCGAATACGAGTAGGACTGTCAATGGAGTTGGGTCAGCCCGAGCTCGGCCCGACAGAAAGCCCGACGAGCCCGATCATTTAGTGAGCCGATCTGAGCCTGAGCCTAAAAATTAGGCTCGAATTAAATGTGAGCCGAGCTTGGGCCTTATTAGGCTCAAATCCAATATAGGTCCGGCCCTTTAATTACCTATATATATATAATATTTATATTTTGATATTATGTATAATTATATATCCAAATATATTATTACTAAATACTAAATATATACATAAATTATAAAACACAAAAATACATCTAAAAACTCTTTCATGAGCTTTCTTGAGAGCCAATATTGGTAATGCATAACTAAATCTCTAATTTTTCTTATTGGTTGAGTAAATTTTTGTATTGGCATAATATTGGTTGATTTTTTTTTGGTCTACAAACACAAAAATCATCAAGCATATTTGGATTTAAATCACAAGATTATAAAAAAAGTTTCAACTTTTAAAGATGTATTGGCTTATGATCGCATGTTTTATTACTATTTTTCATGCATTTTGAATGGATTAATATAAATATTGTTGAAAAATTTTTGGTTTATATACGTTTTAAGAACTATTATTTGTTCATGTTTAGTTTTAATATTATAGTCTTGTAAATGTTAAATTAGTTTTACAACTTAATAGTTATAGTAATTATATTAAGAAAATTATGGAGTAATAAGTGAGCTTGGGCTAAGCCCGATTAAGGCTCACAACCCGAATATTATGTGAGTTGAGTATGAGCTTCACATTTACGAACCCGAAACTCATAGCCTGAAGCCCGAAAACGATTCAAATTAAATGAGCCGAGTTTGAGCTCATCAAAACCCGGCTCATTAGACCCGATTGACAGGCCTAAATACGAGTCAGAATTCTATATTCCGTATCCGATTTTTTTTTTTTTTTTGTTAGAGTAAATGGATACGAATCGGGGTCTGGGAATCAAAATTATTTCTCAACCTATATTAGAAAAAAATTATCAAATTCGGATTTTAAACCCGGCCCATTGACAGCTCTAGCAGTAGTAACAAACGGAAGGGCGTAAGGTAATTCAGTTCCCTTCCAACCCGAAAAATAGGGAAAGAAAATTTTGGCTGTGAAAGCCTATTGAAAGTGTTGATGAAGCTAAAGTAGCCAGGAAGTTTCCCGTTTTAAAAATTTTTGAAGAGGGAAGGGAAGGGATTGGGGGAGGCTTTTAGCATTTGTTGCACTAAAATAATTGTTGCACTGAAATAATACGACTACTAGTAACTCAGAGTATAGTATAGTCCCGGTAATTATTATATTATATTAAAAGTTGATGAATGATGCGAATCTACAGCTGCAACTTGCAGCAGGGACGTTGATGGGACCAACCACCAGCGCAGCCTGCCTGTTGAAAAGAATACTGCAACTTGCGATTTGACCTGTTTTCATTTTATTATTATTTTTTGGATAATGCGTTCGTATGAACTTAAAAGAAGCTAGTGACAATTTTAATGGGCCTCTTTTGTCTTTACGTGCTCGGCATTTGCTTCGTCAATGCGTTCACGCCACTCCATCTCCCCAAAAAAAAAAAAAACTGAAAATTCTTTTTCTTTTACCAAAATTGTTTGTCAATTGGATACGTTTACCTGCTTGAGGCTGAAGTTCTCGACAGTTCCTCTGAATTCTTTTCCAAATTAATGATCATTTGGAACGGGAAAACATAACTAATGTGTCGTCACAAAAGAATGCCAATGCCAAGCGCCCTTCTTTTTTAGTCTTGTAATTGCGCCGCTAATTTGATTGATGGGCTATGAAGTTAACTTGGTGGGTTTTGTAGAAGATGATAAATATCACAAGGAAGGAAGGACAAGAGGTAACGGTAAAAAGAAATCAGAGATGTGGAAAAATTGGGCGAGGGAAGATGGCGTGTAAGCTGATGGATATTGTGGTTAGAAGAAAATGGCAAAAGCCATCAACTTTTAAGGCAATATGCTACAGCAGGTGATGACTATGGCCTTAGTAGGTCTTGCTGTATAATTCAACTACTTGCCACAATTAATTAGTTTCCGTCGTTGCTTCTTTTTTTTATTATTATTATAATAGTTTCCATTCATTTGTTTTGAAGCTTTCTTTCTTTTTTGTCTTTGGCTGAACCTGACGTAAATGTAATTGAAAGCAGAACAAAAACACGTAGATAGGCGTAATGAATCCTAAAATATAAGGATTAGGAAAGCAGAACAAAAACGTTGACAGCTGTGGGATTTGAACCCACGCCCTTTCGGACCAGAGCCTAAATCTGGCGCCTTAGACCACTCGGCCAAACTGTCTTGTATGCATGTAGCCGATTAAGCACACCTTATATATCTAAATTAGGAGATAAAAGAATTTACTGATGACCGGTTTATAGGAAATTTCAGGCGGCCAATCATTTTGCTTCTCAATAATGCGAGAGATCGGAAAAGATTATACTATCAATTATATCTGTTTGACCACTCACAGAAAGAAAGTGTTTGTTGGGCACAGAATAGAAGTGACAGTAATAATAATTGCTTTTCTATTGATAATAATTACACCCAGCCTAACCTAACACACCACAGCTCAATACTAACTGATGATTATGTCTTGCGCGTAGAAGTGATATGATAATAATTGCCTTTTCATTTTGATGTAACAGATAATTACAATTAACCTAACAATTAACACTAACAGATAATTGCTTTTCTTAAGCAAGATGATACGGGGTTGCTTAATATGGAACTCGTATGAGAAAAGAAATCCACAATTTCTCCTTTTAGGCTTTGACCAATTTGTGAAGCCGTATAAAATAAAAACAAAACTCCCCGTCAATAGATAGCATAGCATATATTTGCCGGATGAAAGTCAATGTTTTGAAAATCGAATCAGATCGGTCAATTCGACCGATTGAACCGCAAATCGATCATGTCTTCGGTCCGATTCAATTACAAAGCCAAAAAATTAATTGAACCGGTTGAATCGATAAAAATCGGAGGTTCAACCAGTTTTTATTAAGTATTTAATTTCTAAAATAAATATTTTAGTTTTATTCAAAATTTTTAATACTAAAATAAATAAAAAATTATTAAACTTTTGAATCGGGATTGCACCGATTGAATCGAAAGATTTTTCGGTTCACTCTCCGATCTTGGTTTAAAAACATTGATGAAAGTCTAAACTGTCCTCCAATATTAAGGCTTTTAGCCATTGCTACCGATAGCGAGTCCTTAATCAGTTTGATGTTCAAATGCTCCAAGAAAATCTGTGGGGAGGGAGACCGAGTGAGCAGGGTTACCTTTACTTCAATCAAGAAGAATCAACCGCTATGGATTAGGAAATTGCAACTACCCTAACAACCCAACCTACTATGCCCACCCGGAACTTTTGTTGTTTCCAGTCATCAAAAGGTATCACTCCTCGAGGGATAATAAACTTAATAAGTAAATCTGGAAAGCTAATGACTTTGGTTCAGCTTAACCATAGACCATCACAAAATTTGTTTCCCTGAACATGGTAGGATTGAGGATCTGCTAGAATTAGAAATTTAATGGTTTGATAAATCTTCTTTTACGTGCTAGCTAGGTTTATATTATTGTTGTCTCTTACTCTTTTGTCATTTGCCAGCACTAGGAAGGATATCACATTCTTTAAAAATAAATAAAACTAAGAAAACCAAGAAAACATAAACTTGTGAACATAAACTGCAGATCGAACATCCAACAACCACCAACTATTGCTTTCACTAAACAACCGGGGATGTTCGATCGGTTCCATTCGTATCGCCATATTATCATCATTACAAGTCAAGGAGCTTCAAATTAAGTTGCCAACCTAGAACTAGAAAGAATGGAGCTCTGATAAAAGGGGGGGACGTAGACAGAGGCACCAGAGATCCTAGAGACGGGATTCATGCAGATCTAGCAAAAGCTAGCTAGCCCACCGCCATGACGAAGAAGCACCAAGTAATAATAAGTACTTCCCCTGCTGCAGGAATATTATGGGATGTAAGGTGCAGCTTCCAATCTCTCATAGCCCTTCTTCTTGTTGCCTTAGTGGGCGGGGCCGTTTATTTGACAGCACAAAGTGGACACTTGTTAGCAGACGACCGTACTAGTAGTAGCACTAGTAATAGTACTCCTCCTCCTCCTCCTTCCGCAAGTACCAATGACTTACCGCCTTCAAAATGCAACTTGTTTTCAGGAAAATGGGTGTACGACAACCACTCGTACCCTCTCTACAAAGAGAAGCAATGCACTTTCATGTCCGACCAGTTAGCTTGTGAGAAATTTGGACGAAAGGACCTAACCTACCAAAACTGGAGATGGCAGCCTCACCACTGTGACCTCCCGAGGTTCATCTTCTGTCTTTCTCTCTTTTCTTTTTTCTGTTTTAGCCCGAGGTTCATCTAATTAATTCATTAATATTGCATGATGCATACGTACGTACGTATTGAGCTTTTTTTTTTTTTGGGGGGGGGGGGGGATCCTATCATCATGTTAAGAAAGGTTCAATGCCACAGCACTGCTAGAGAGACTGAGGAACAAAAGGCTTGTGTTCGTTGGGGATTCTCTGAACAGGGGCCAATGGGTATCTATGGTCTGTCTCGTCGAGACATCCATGCCTTCATCATCTCCAAAATCTATGATCAGTAACGGTTCCTTGACCACCTTCAAGGCCACAGTAAACTCAACAAACATTTTCTTAGATTCTCTCTCTCTCTTTTCTTCTTTTTTCTTTTTCTTTTTTTTTTTTGAAAGAAAACATTATCATAGATTTTAGTATATATATATAGACATAGGTATGTACGGTGAGAGCGTTGTGATGACTTCTACTAATTATTTACTCGGAACTTTTTTTTGGTTGGGGTTAAATTTGGTAAATGTGAAGGATTACAATGCATCAATTGAGTTCTACTGGGCGCCATTGCTGGTGGAATCGAATTCGGATAATCCAGTGAACCATCGTCTACCAGACCGTATAGTCAGAGCCCACGCCATTGAAAAACACGCCAGGCACTGGACCGATGCTCACATACTCGTCTTTAACTCGTATCTTTGGTGGAAGCAGCCCAAGATGAATACGTTGTGAGTTTTTTTTTTTTTGGAAAAAATCAGCTTGATTTTTTTTTTTTAAATAAATTTTGGTTTCTAATATGCTATATGCTCGGCCCTCAAATTCAATCCTCAGATGGGGTTCATTTGGAAATTCCGATGGCATCTACAAAGATGTAGAGATGCTCCGCAGCTACGAAATGGCACTCAAGACATGGGCCGATTGGTTGGAAATCCACATTAACCGCACCAAGACCCAATTGTTCTTCATTAGCATGTCCCCCACTCATCAAAGGTATTGTCCATTTTGGGACTGGACTAATTTTCCAGTTTCTTTTCTTTTCTTTTAATTTTCTTTCCCCTCCCCCTCCCCCCCGTAGGAGATTGAAAATAAGTAGTAGTAGTTTTGAAGCTATACATATATACATAGTGTGCATGGTGGCTTGATTGATGAGAACTCAAAGTTGTCCACCACTTTGCTGCCAAATTATCAAAGAAAACTCAAATTTTTACGTAGGGATGTAAAAATGAAAAAAAAAGAAAGAAAGAAAAGAAATCAAATAAAGTTTCTGTACCAGTAAAAAAAATTACGGTTACCGCATGGAGTTGGTTGATGGAGCGCAGGGCTGAAGAATGGGGCGAGTCTGCGGGTGAAAATTGTTACTCGGAGACGGAGATGATCGGGAAAGATGAGTATCAGGGTAATGGATCGAATCCGGAGATGATGCGAAAGGTGGAAGCCTCCATCAACGACCTTAAAAGCAGAGGCCTGACCGTCCGACTGATAAACATCACGCAACTATCAGAATATCGAAAAGAAGGCCACCCTTCCATCTACAGAAAACAATGGGAGCTTCTCACCCAGCGCCAAATTTCCAAACCCTCCGCTTATGCAGATTGTATACATTGGTGTCTCCCTGGAGTTCCTGACGTTTGGAATCAACTCCTCTACGCTTACATCTTTAATTCATCATCTCACAACACATTCTGATCCTAACCAAATCCAAGTTTCCCTAAATTTCTTTAATTCTAGATCTTCAACCTAACTTGCACCTTTTTTTATTTTTTTAAAAAATTTTTAACCTTTAAGCAGCGCATGTTTGATGTAAAATTAATTGTGAATATATATTTTAAGGAATCAATTTGGGTTTATTATCATTTGCAACAATAATCTATTATACGTTGTTCTTCTCTTCTCGGGGCAGGGAAGTCTAATTGGTAATTACCATCCAATCCTTCTTATTATGTCGTAGTATTATTCTTATGTCGTTTTTTTTTTTTTGGCGAAAAGTACATACATAGTCGTAACCATTTTTTTTTTTTTGTTTTACCTTAACTGTCGGATTTGACCCTGAATCTAGCGACGGGGGACTTTAAGTTGACCCTAGTGGTCACATAGTAGTAACTTTTATAATATCCACCCAAAAAAAATAAACTAAAAATATGAATTGAGATGCTAAAAAAGTACATATTTGCTAGGATTTTCCACCCTTGAAACAAGATTATCAATTTACTATTGGATTGCAATGATAGTTGTGGAAGGTCAATCTTGAGAGAGTTATCCTTTCAACCAATGGTTATCGGAACAAAGCAAAACGGGATCGATATTTCGCGAGTAAAACCAAGAAAACAAAAAGGGCCTCGTCTTCTACTTTTAGTGCAACAAAACCTTTTAGAAGGTGCTATTGATCCAAAATTACCAGCAACCCGCGGGTACTATTGTGGGCTCAGCATTATGTACACTAATGGTGACAACGAGATCTGGCTTGATTTTCTTGGTGGAAGCTAAGATGGAAATTCTTCAACCAGTTTTGGTGGTTTCTGTATTGAGTTGATTTCATGAGACGCGTCAGAGCAAATAGAAGTTAATGTATTTAATGACTTTCCTTGTTCTGATGATCTTTTTCCATCTCCGTAGTGTATGTACGTAACGAAGCGTTACATTAATTGTTCCCCTTTTCTCCACTTCCCAAATACCACCTCCTCAAAACTCTGCAAACAGGTTCCACCGTTCCAGTATTAATTGATTAGGTCAATGTATTTTGGTTCAAGGGACATGCCTGTGCGTTTGCTAAGGCAGGAGATGGCAAAGGAACAACCGCTTCTTCCTGGTTCATGGTGGGTAGTAGGATGCAGCTTTCGTTATCTTGCCATTTTCCTCCTCTCGATATTGTTTTCCATTGCTTTTTATTGCAATAGAGAGGGCAGACTATTTCAAAGACGACTTGAAAGCTTTTCTTCTGTACAAATCCATGGGGTCTTAGCCTCAAACTGCAACTTATTTGCCGGCACGTGGGTTTATGACAACAAATCTCTTCCTCTATACAAAGATTCGAATTGTTCATTCATGTTTGATGATTTGGCTTGTGAAAAGTACGGAAGAAAGGACCTGGACTATCAGTACTGGAGATGGCAGCCCGATAACTGTGACCTCCCGAAGTATGTCCTCTCCCCTCCAGATAAACCCGAAAAAAAAACCCCTCTTTTTATATATATATATATATATATATTTGGCCATAATATTATGTATTCTACATTCTTCTTGTTGAATTTTTTCTGTTCAATGCCACTATTCTCCTGACTACTTAAATATATGATCGTATACTCTATATATGTATGTTGCGAACTAGATTTGGTGCCAAAGCACTTCTCGATAAACTGAGGGATAAACGGCTTGTGTTTGTTGGGGATTCCTTGAACCGGAACCAATGGGTTTCACTTGTCTGCTTAATTGAATCATCAATTCCTTCGAGCTTGATGAAATCAAGAAGTTTAAAGGGAAGCTTGTATAGCTTCAATGCCAAAGTAAGTTCGTAGATTTGCTTACATCTTTGTTCCCCATCCACTAGACAAATTCTAATCATGTTTACTGTTGCAGGATTCACTCAACCTGTATCTTTTTTCTTTTTTGTAAATTTTTTGATCCAAGAAGGTTACGCCTGATACAATTATATGTTTTGTATGGCAAAATTACTCATTCATCAATATTATTACGCAGGCAACAGTAAGTCTAACTTTGAGTTTTTTTTTTTTTAAATAAAAAAAATTGAATGAAGGAATATAACGCAACAATTGATTTTTACTGGGCTCCGTTGCTGGTCGAATCAAACTCAGACGATCCGTCCAACCATCACTTGAGCGATCGAGCCGTTAGGGTCGAATCAATTGCAAAGCATGCTAAGCATTGGGCAGATGCAGATATTCTCATATTCAATTCTTACCTTTGGTGGAAAGTGGCCACCATGAAGGTCTTGTAAGTGGAAGAGTATATACAATGATTTACTAATATTTTTTGCATAATACGCTGGAATTTGAATACAGTTCTGAAATGCGGGAATATTCCAAGTGTTGCTCAATTCTCTAAGTAATACTATAGCATAGTAGGGTTCTGCATGTATGGTTGTAACTGGTGTTACACTGTTCAGTCAGGAATCCCTTGAAAACTCGACTGCAGTCTACAAAGAAATGGAGTCTCGGAAGTGTTACGAGATGGCCCTGAAGACATGGTCAAAGTGGGTGCTTGGGAATGTGGACGGTAATAAAACACGATTGTTCTGGATGAGCATGTCGCCGCCTCATACCCTGTACGTATCAATTACTAGTAGCAAATTTTGGGATTGAGAGTGAGTTATGGGTCTCACAAATGCAGTGTATATATTATTATTATCTTTTGCTGCTGCTAATCTGGTGTAGTTGCAGGTCTTCGAATTGGGGCAGGCCGCATGATGAGTTAAAATGCTACAATGAGACACAACCTATCACAAAAGAAGAGCTCCGAGGAAGCGAATCGGATCCTGAGATGATGCGTTCGACGGAGAGGGCAGTTGAGAGCTTACATGGGAGAGGGGTGAAGATAGATCTCCTCAACATAACTGGACTCACGGAGTACAGAAAGGACGGCCATCCAACAGTTTACAGGAAACAGTGGAGGCCTCTTACCCAAGAACAATTAGCCAACCCTTTAACTTACGCCGATTGCACGCATTGGTGCCTTCCCGGCGTTCCTGATGTCTGGAATCATTTGCTTTATACTTACCTTGTCTAATAATTCCTATCTACTGCTACTACTTCTACTTCGTATGTAGCAGCCTTTTGTGATAGATGGAGAGGTAGAGCAGATATTGGTATATTTTGAAGATATTAATGAAATTAGAGAGAGTTTGGAGATAATGGAGGGTGAGTTTTCAATCAATCGGATATAATGTTATACCGTCATCTCTCCCTAAACTTTTTCTTAGCCAAAAATGATAATCTTTTACAATTCCGACGATCAATTATTATTAAGTACAGAGCTATAGGTGTTAATTAATAGACTAATAGTGGGAGATATTACAGCCCTTTTTGAAATAAGTATTTTTGAGTTTTAGATTGTAATAATAATTTCAAACATTTGAAATATAAATAACTATGATCATACAAATTGAGAGAATAATTCACAAAAAAGAATCGTATTTGGACGAGTTTGTGTTAGTTAAAATGGATAATAGGTATAAATGAGTGAATCCATTTATACCCCTTTAATTAGATAGATATAACTGAATAAGTCAAAAAATGAATTGGATAACCCAATTACTCATTTATAACCTATTTATTTTAACTTTTTGTAAACTCATTTAAATTCATTTTTGCAAACTAAGTTATCAATTTATACCACCCTTTGTACCCATCATTAGTTTTAAATATTTACTTATAATGTTCAATAAGCCTAATTACTAATTTTTTTTCATCCATACTCTATGTCACAAAATTACATGCTATTTAATAATTGAACAATAAGAGTATAAAAATTTGAACTAAGTACTATAAAAGTTAACATAAAAACTTAATCCAAAAATTTTGAACTCCTAGCATTTTTTTGGTGTGTACATTTAAATTTTCATTTTGAAAAGGCAGAAAAAGAAGCTAAAACTTGTCATAAATTGGTAATGCTAAAAAATAAGTAAGTTAACAAATTATATGAAAATAAAATCAACAAATAATAATAATAATAATGAAATAAAAATAGTTGATATCATGACAAAATGAAGAATTTGAAAAAAAAAATGGGTTGGGGAAGAGAGGAGGTTTGGGGAAAGACAATTCTAAATGAGTTTATTAGATTTGATGGGTTATCCAATAATATAAATTTAAGATTAGATTTGATGGGTATTATTGGATAATTCATTTATACCCATATACAAAAATTTAAGATATCAATATCCATCTATTCATGGATAAATACGGATAAATAAGATATATATATAATAAAGTCGTATTATCATCCTTATCCTTTTATTTTGTCTCTTTCCTACGTGGCTTAACGACAGGACAAGTAGGTGCAACGCGCTTTATGAGTTAACCCCCTAATAACCTATGTTATTCCATCCCTCTTTTTTCTCTTGCATTTACAATTTTAGATAATCCTTCCATAATTATCTCTTACATTCTTTCACCTTTTTTTTTCTTAACCCTAATCGTCAAACCTAAATTTTCTGGGGATTAGTATAAATAATTTTGAATTATGTTTTTAACTCTCTCTCATCTTCAACTCAAAAGTTCGAAATATCAATTCAAATATTAGATTATTTTTATCAGATTATCACTATCACAGATACTCTACACTTTTACTAATATATATGGTTCTCAATCTCATCACTTTATCAAGCAGTGAAAATGTTTACACTTTCCACCAATTTTTTTGGAAAGTTTTTTTTTTTTTTTTAACTTCAATGCAAGGACCGGATTTGGACTTTGTTTATGCTCGCTGTATGTGGTCTGTAATTTCCTACACCTTCTTCATAGTTAGGTCATTAAATTTGAATTTTCTAAGTAAGTCTTCAAAAGTTATAGTTTGGTTTTTATTTCTGGCAAGGTTTTTGTAATTAATTTGTTATTTCAATTTATGGATTCACTCTTCAATTCAAGTAGAACACATATTGCTTTTTGGTTAGTGATTTAAAAATGGCCTTTTAAACTATGTGTTTTCACAAGATTTTTTAATTGCCTTTGACAATTTATTAATTGTCTTCAACAATGTACTAATTTTTTTTATTTTCTAGGTTTTTGGGGTCAAAAAAATTTTGTGCAGTTTTCAATGTTTTTTTTTAAAACTTTGGTAGAAAGCTTCTAAAGAACAAGAAGGTGTTGATTACATAAATAGCAAGACATCAAGTTCATTGTCATACAGTAGTTTATGTCATGCAATATACATCAGACTATTTAGATTTTTTATATTTTTGATTTAAGAGCAAAATACATCTTATGTTTTCGTTTTGCTTCTATTAGCTGTGAACAGATTTAGAAGGTTGTTGTGTTCCTATCACTTGATTGATTTTGAATTCTGATCCTTTAGTAATATTTCATTCGGCTTCTTTTCTTTTCACATTAACCTTTAAGCCATTTATATTAAGTACCAAAATTGATGTTTTGGTAACGGGTTGGCCATTCTTTTGTTTACAGAAGATCATCTTGCCAGTTTTCAAGTTTTTCAATGTTATCATATTGTCGAATGTGTTTTTTTTTTTTTGCATTTTTGAATTATTAATCACTGAATTAGATGTTTAAATTTACATTATAAGACTATTTTTGAATAACAATGTGCACATAGTAATGTATTTAAGAAAGGTTATAATAGATTATACAATAAGTTTGTATTTTATGCAAATATTTTTATGAACTACACTAAATAATTTATTATTTTTAAACAATTCCCATTCAACGAATGGGTATAAAACTAATTTAGTTAAATGGGTTTGTTTGCCGCTTAAATTTGTCAAGATTAATTGCTTCGTCGCGTGAGGTTTTTAATTCTTGTACGGCTGTGTTTATCAACTTTATTGTATAGCCCATAATTAGATGGTCTTTTCTGTTAGGCCATAATAAGATGAAGTCATTCTATAATTATTATCAAAGTCTGTTTTGACTCTTCTACTTCAAAAAGTTCTCTGATTTTGAATGCTACTTCGGATCTCCCTCGGAAAAAAAATAATAAATAAGTGGTACACAAGAGGCTCCAAAGAATTTCTTAAATTTTTTGCTATATAAACTAATTGATTTCCCAATTAGTATCTACCTTTCTCACTTCTGCTCTAAAGATTAATATCTCCATTGAAGTTCTACTTTATGTATACTCCTTTTTGTCCCTTCAAATTAATAACATGTACAGTATCCATTAGATGATAGTATTAGCAACAGATGAGCTGCATGTCAAAAGAAACAAAGAGCCAAATAGCATTATTAGCTCTATGTTAAATGGAAACAACGAAGCAATACTGATCGTGCGTATAAATTTTATAAAGTAGTGTGCTTAGTATGTTGCAAAGAAAAAAAAACTTCATCTTAAAATGAAAAAGTGTAGGAATACAACCCACAGGATAAAACAATTCAAGCAAAACTCAAAGTCAAAGAAACAAGTATTGCTGCGGAAACGAAAACCGAAGGAAAGAAAAGGCAACGACAAAAGACAAAAACAAGCAAAGCTCCGAGGAGGCACCAATGTATCTTATTCTTCTCAACTCACGGCACACAGGACCAGGCTACAAGCAGTGGTATATATATAGATCACTTAGTCTCCTAAAACTTAGCTTCCGAATCACAAAGAGAATCTATTAAACAATTGGACTTGGACTTAAAAAACCACTACCGACTAGAAAACCAAGACCAACAATATAGAAATTAACTAATAATAATAATCTTGATTTAACTACTACAAAAAGAAATAGTAAAAATATTTCCAAAACCAAACAATCATGTGGTCTCTACTACGTTGATGTTGAACAGGTGAGATTAACATAATCATACAATTCCATTGTTGATTGCTCAACGAATCCCACCTCTGTTTTTTTTTAGAAAAAGTGGTAAGTAAATAAGAAAGAATATCAGATGACTGGCAATTATACATTGGAAAAAAGACCGGGCGGCCCCCTTTCCTCCCGAATCATAATATATTAATTCCCTGCAGCCAACTTAATTAATTCCCATCTGTTATGCCTTAAACATAAACGAACAAAATGTATCATCAAACAATAATCTTTAGATCATATATTTCTTCTAAAGTTTTTCATACTCAAGCAGTTTGCAGCAATCACGTTTTTAACTAATAGGTGCCATGCACATGCACAAGTATCTTATTATTGTGCTTTTACTTTCCGTGAGAGCCCGTAGTAGTTAGTTATTCAAACATTATTCAAACTTGACATCCGCCGCGAGAGGGTGGGAGGTCATTCGGAACCCGATCGCTGGCTCCAGAACCGGTGGTTGTTGTGGTTGTTGGAGGGGGGGGGGGGGGGAGGGACGGCGGCTCAGGATCGACAACAACAGCTGCGCGGATCTGTCGTGTCCTTTATAAGTGGTTTTGTTTAATCAAGGTTCTTCTGATTGACAATGAAGGTCAAACACAATGGACAGTTGATAGTTTTGTTTTAACAACAACAATAAAATTGACTTGTTTATTCTGTTTTGAGCTTTTAAACTGCTCCATTTGATAGATCGGCACCGAAACACCATCTTTAAGAAAGAGAAAGCCAGTCGGGGCATTTCAAGCTTGAGGTGGCAACCATTTTTTATGTCCTTGAATGTTTGAAACAACCATTGTCTGTCTTCAATCTTGAGTTGACAAGAAAACAAGCTTGCAAAGAAAGTTCATCTCTACTGTGAAGAAGGCAAATGGCAGGGTCTGGCATAGTTCCAGGAACAGGGAGAATCGGGTTACGGTTCCATTCTCTCGCAGGCTTTCTTTTAACTGCCTTGGTCATTACTACCTTCTATTATCTATCAGGGGATAGCACCGGCCCAATCCTGGAAGATGAAACTAAGAGTAAGAATTCATCTCCAAGCTGCAATTTGTTTTCGGGAAAATGGGTTTACGATAACAAGTCTTACCCCTTGTACAAAGAGGGAGAATGTTCTTTCATGGCTGATGACTTTGCTTGCGAGAAATTCGGCAGAAAGGAGTTCAAGTATCAGCACTGGAGATGGCAACCCCATGATTGCGACCTTCCAAGGTCATTCTCTCTTTCTCATTGCTAGTTTAGGGTGTACTAGGGATTCATCCCCTTGGCATGTCCGATTTACTAGAGATTTTTATGTCTTTTTTGAAGGTTCAATGCGACAGCATTGCTGAACAGGCTGAGGGGAAAGAGACTTGTTTTTGTTGGTGATTCTCTGAACAAGAATCAATGGATATCAATGGTGTGCCTGCTTGAATCATCAATTCCACCATCCTTGAAATCAAACACCTGGAAAGGCTCGTTGATCACATTTGAAGCCTTTGTAAGAAGATTTCTGTCTTCATTTCCAATATCATCAAATTAGTTCCTCATTTGTCATGTTCTGGTTGTATTAATTTTCGTGGATTTGGTCGATTCTAAGTTGGTAGGTTAAAGTTTTGTTAGTGCTGCTTAACCAGAATCTGGCTAACATCTTTATCTCTTACTTTTGTGTTGGTTATGTCTTTTGTCCAATTTTACGTTACATTAGATCTTGGACCACGGAGATGTCCATATACATAGCTCGCGACATTCCTTTTTTTTTTTCTCTCTCTCTCTTTTTCATTTTTCCCCCTCTATATATATCTCTCTCGTGTTTCTTTTGTAGTAATGTTCAATATCAGCAGTAACTATTGTTTGTCTAACGGTAATGAAGGAATATAACGCCACGATCGATTTTTACTGGGAACCACTGCTGGTGGAATCGAACTGCGATGACCCTGTGAGCCATCATGTTCTTGATCGAATTGTCAGAATTGAGGCAATTGAGAAGCATGCCAGGCACTGGACTGATGCGGACATACTCGTCTTTGATTCTTTTATGTGGTGGTTGCAACCTGAAATGACGCTTTTGTAAGTGCACTCATTTTTCCAAAAAAACAAAAAAACCAATAAACGTCAATAGATTCTCAAGGTTGTTTGGGGTGCATGGTGCTTTGTAAATTGTAATCATAGTGGTGCTTCTTGATCAGGTGGGGATCGTTTGAGAGCTCTGATGCAATCTACAAGAAGGTAGGGAAGAGACTGCGCGTCTATGAGATGGCTTTGCGAACATGGTCAGATTGGTTAGACATTCACATCAACCGAACCAACACAAAACTGTTCTTCATGAGTTTGTCGCCATACCACAAAATGTAGTAATAAAGATGCACAAAATCTCTGCGACTTACTTTCTTCACGAGGCGTCTAAAAAATAAAACATTCGAATTTGACAAGAGGCTATCAATTTAAATTACAGGGCTGAAGATTGGGGATCATCTTCAGGACAAAACTGCTACAATGAAACAGAACCAATATCGGAGGAAGGTTACTGGGGAAGCAGTACAGATCGGGGGATGATGAGCATGGCTGAAGCAGCGATACGTGAGCTAGAAGGAAGAGGCTTGAAAGTGCAATACCTCAATATAACGCAGTTATCTGACTACAGGAAAGATGCTCACCCATCCATCTACAGGAGGCACTGGGAGGCTCCAAGCAAGAAGCAATTAGCCGACCCCAGGAGCTATTCAGATTGTGTACATTGGTGCCTTCCAGGGGTCCCTGATGTTTGGAACCAGATTCTTTATGCCTACGTAATGTTCGATGAATTCCATGCTAAATTAGAATAGGGCCCCGGCCCTGGGATCCTCCAATCTTGTAGTATTATCTATAATTCCTTCTCATTTCTCATACGAGGTAACTATTAAGGACTATAGCCCTAAACTGATATCATTGTCATGTAAAGAGAAGTTCGTTCGCACTCAAATTTTATGTGTAAAACTTCTGATGCGCTTTCTAATTCAAGTATTATTTAATTTTGTATTTTAATGACTCTAGAACAATGATTGACTAATTGTACTGCCATAGTAGAGACATCTCTAAGATGGGAATTGTTAATTTAGGGGATGTGAAGGTAGTTGGGAAGCCAATCGTTTTCCGGCCCAAAAATTTCATCACGGACCTAGGAGTGTGGCTGCTGGTCCATCATTATTGGCTACGTTCTTTTACGATGGCTATTGTTGTCAATTAAAAGAATTCGCCATCTTTATGTTCCTTTTTTTGGGGGGGGGGGGGGGGGGGGGGGTTAAGGCAATGTTGTTAAGCTCGGATTGGATAGCGACTCGGCTAAATTGCTGGATTAGAGTTCAACTGGTCAGATCAGTCGGACTGTTCTCAAAAAATCGCTGACGTCAACATGATGTCATAATTATTTTATATATTTATAAGTTTCAGAAATATTGAAATTAAGTTATTGGTTATATTCAGCTAATCATACAAAATATTCCAAAAATATTAAACTTGTAATCAAATATACACCTAATAATTACATATAAAAATGTAAATTCATGACTAAAATATGTCCATTTTTTCCAAAACTACTTGAAAAACAAAATAAAAACAAATTAATATAAGTTGGAATCATTGATGCTAAACTGATAAGATGATAGGGATGAAACATCTTGATTTAGAGATCATTCAAGAAAATGAGTGATTTTAGTATTTACACTAAGTGGATGCATTTTCATACTCTTATTAATAAATAAAAGTGTTGTAATGTATGTAATTCAAATTATGTTTAGAAAAAAAAAAGAAAGAAAAGTTTAAGAATCGAGTCAATCAGTCGAATTGGATCATTGATTTAGCCAATTTTTTACGGTTTTGATTGATTTTTGATCAAAGCGATTTTGCTACGAACCAACTCGGGAAGAAAGATGGGTTCACAATCAAACCGGTCGAATTGGCCGATTCAGTCAGGGTCTAACAACACTGGTTTTTTGGGTTTAGGAAACCTATTGCTTGATTTAGAAAATGCTTTCCTCCATCTCCATGGCTCCACGTATCCAGAAATAGAGACTAATTAGGATTGAGGAAATGCTTGTGATATTCTTATCTTGATGTACTTCACCTGCGGCGTGTGGTTTAGGAACAAGATTAGTCCATTGCCTTGGTCAATGAGCCAGCATGACGACTACTGTGAGATAAAAAGAGTAATTTTATGAGTTCATTAATCATTATCCGACTGCTTAATCGTTTACCGTGACGTTGACACTCAATCTCCTGCCAAGTCAAAATATATATATAAAAAAAAATTCTCCTGCCAAGTCAAACCACTACCACTAGTATACAATTTTCGTTTTAGGCCCACGTGGATGATAAAATTAAAACATAAGCGGGGCTTTTAAGACTAAATTAAGATTAAAGTTTGACCACTGTCACCTGCACAATTAACAAACAAAAAGGTTAGGATTGGAGAATAAGGTTCGGAGAATGTCACCCGAAAAGGCACTGGTTAGACTACCATTCACTAATGCTACTTATTATAATTATAATTACAGTTGAGCTGAAGAATCGAATCGATCTTCGGCTTCGTGCAGTAAATATCACATGTGGAAGATTGATATCCAAACAATTGAACTTACTTTCATCTAATCAAATCACTCTCCTCAATCGATAATAATAGCAGTAATAATCATAATGTCTCCAGTGCCAACTAACCCCGTCCATGGGAGGCCTCTGTCTGCCGAGGGCGATCTTCATTTTCAGAGGAGTCGAGCACCCATAGCAGTAGCACACTCCCTTGCCCCTTTCTCTCTCCACTCCTCTCTCTAACATGATGCAGAAATGCCACAGAAAAAAGGGCCATTTTCCTCTCATGGCACTTGTACTCTTTGTCTGCATAATCTTCTCAATATTGTACAAGGAAATTACTACCATTCAACGAATCCGTCAGAGCCAACCTCAGAACGAGGTTAATGATGACCAACCCCAGTCCTCCGACTTCCAACTCCAACAAGAATTTCTTCCCAGACCCACGGTTTTACTGAATCGATCCCTCTCAAGCAGAGCTCCTCCTGGTGGGTCTTTTTCTCTTTCCGACATCTTTCAAGATCTAAACTTTTTCGGCATACATTCTTTTCGGCATACATTCTTTTTTTGCTTCTTCTTTTTATTGTGTGGATTAGTTAGATAAGGGTTCAGCCGTGGCTTTTTATGAATCTTTTCTGCTAGTGTCGTTTAGTGCATTCAATCCTATTTGTTTTTGTCGTGTACTTTCGTGGGGAACTTTCAGTGCCTCTGGATAAATCTAGTGCATGCAGTTCGACTGTGGAGTACAGTGGAAGAAGAGTTTTGCCAGCTGGCCGTACACCGGAGCCGGGTGGCTGGAGGGGGCAACCGCAAGGGTGCGACTTCTTTTCTGGTGAATGGGTCTTTGATAACGCTTCTCGTCCACTGTATAATGAGTCAGATTGTCCGTATATGTCGGATCAATTAGCCTGTCTCAAGCACGGTAGACCTGATGTTGATTACCAGTATTGGAGATGGCAGCCCCTTAATTGCAATTTGAAGAGGTAAAATGTTGAACATGATCCTTCCGCCCCCGCCCCCCAAACACACGCACCCACCCCACATTTTAAGTGGTTGGTATTAAATTTGTGTATCTATAGTGCCTGCAATTGGTGGAGTGGACAGATAAGCATGGAGTATTCGTTTGGGTTTTGCTGTTCAATTTTGTCCAGTGCAAAATAATGTGTGCAACAACTTCATCGTATTTCTATATGCATATATTCATAGCATCTGGCTTGTTAAATTGGTATGCTCTAGGTGGAATGTGACTGAGATGTGGGAGAAGTTGAGGGGTAAGAGACTGATGTTCGTGGGGGACTCCTTGACTAGAGGGCAATGGATATCAATGGTGTGCTTGTTGCAGTCCATAATTCCAGCCGATAAAAAGTCAATGACACCCCAAGCCCAACTTACAACTTTTACAGCCCAGGTGAGCTGAAATCCTAATTACTTAACTTGGAACTAACCTGTTCTTACATTCCGATTTTACTTTTTCTCTAATTCTATGGTTAAGAGCTTCGCTTTCTGTTGGTAAACCTTTGACTTTGAGTAGCGATAGCTAGATGAAGGTATCTGTTTGATAAAATGACATATCCTGACAAATGCAGGACTACAACGCTACTGTTGAATTTCTTTGGGCACCGCTTCTTGTTGAATCTAATTCGGATGATCCTGTTGATCATACATTGCCTGAAAGAATTCTCCGTCCAGATTCAATTCTTAGGCATGCATCACAATGGAAGGATGCCGACATTTTAGTCTTCAATTCTTATTTGTGGTGGAGACAGGGCCCTGTGAAGCTCTTGTAAGTAGAATATTTCGTCCAGGAAACATGCACAAATCTCAGTATTTGAGATAAAAATCTTGTATATTCTCATGTGCCAAATCCACATAAATATGCCTTGCCTGCAACTGTTTTCTAAAAGTTGTTAATTTTGTAGATGGAGTAATGAAGATAGTGGTGTTTGTGAAGAAATTGACGGGTTGGGAGGCATGGAGTTGGCAATGGAGGCCTGGGCAGATTGGATGGCTTCTGATTTTGACGCCCTCAACAAGCAGGCCTTTTTTGTTACCATGTCTCCTACACATTTCTTGTAAGTGCTGGGCTTCAATTAATAGTCTTTCAATTCTTCCCTCGCTAATGATTTGTTGGATAAGAAATGATGGTGGAAAATTTGTTAGACTTATGTAAATTGGTTTACACATTTGCATGGTAGATGATACAGTGAAGGATCCAAAATCTCCTAGCAATAATTATCTTTTTATATCAGCAAAAAAGTGACCTGGATGTAACTATGGAAGTTTAGTTCAATTCTTAATTCCCAAGTGTTGGTATTATGATTTGATTAGTTGTATGGTCCTTTTTTTGGTACACTGAGCTGTGGATAATGGCAATCAAAAGTTTCCTGGATCAGGGCCTACTTGTGCACTGCAAATGAGCATATGGGGATTTGGAGTCGTTAACCATGTAGCCCGCTTTTTCATAGTACTCTTCCTTGTAAAACAAGATTGAATCTTTCCGTTTCCTACATGTTTCTTCGTTAATTTTCACCCGTTTGCCATATATCTTCGGTTTTTCTTTTCTCTTTGGGTGGAATCCGTAGTTCTGACATGTTTAGCTTCTATATTGTTCTTTCTTTGTCCTTTAGCAGGATTTTAGGATGTGATTTTCTGGGTCATCTATTTCATCAAATGCATGCATGCTGATATTTGCAGGCCACAGTCCTTGTATCCAAAACTGCCTAGATTTGTTTTGAGTTGCATAAGCAGTTTGTTAAGGATTCTTCATTATACAGGAATTATGTGGTGTGCCGAAGCAAAAGATCATGTTCTTCTCTTTGGTTCGTTTCATATCATCACCAGTTTCAACTTCTTTTCATTGTTTATTAGATCGCAGATGATCACCGAATTGTTAAGGGATTGTCTTTATGTGTTAGCCACTTTGAAGTTTGACCTGTGTGCCCCTTCTCTCTCTCTCTCTCACTTTGGAAATTACACCAAAACAAAGGGAAAAAAATTTTCAGTTGTTTGCTTTTCTAAATTATCAGGAAAGAAGAATGGGAGCCAGGAAGTGAAGGAAACTGTTACAATGAGAGACAGCCAATTTCGAGTGAAAGGTACCTGGGAAACGGTATTCACTTGCCCACCATGCAAATAGCGGAGAAGGTATTGAGGCGGTTGAGCTCAAAGGTTTCTGTGCTCAACATCACACGGCTCTCAGATTATAGGAAAGACGGCCACCCAACCATTTATCGGAAATTCTGGGAGATGCTGAGCCCTGAGACGCTGTCGAAACCGGCGAGTTATTCCGATTGTATACATTGGTGCCTGCCGGGTGTGCCTGATGTCTGGAATGAGTTGCTGTTTCAATATTTGTAGAAGGTCCGA